GTATGCATGATTGGAATGGTAGAGCAAACGCTAGATGCCATTATGCACCAATGTATTTTCCAATTAGCTGTGAAACGGCATCTCTCAGAAGATCCTCTGTGACTGTCAGTGTGCAGGCTTGTAAGAGGCCACTTTATTTATAAGCCATACCACTATGTTTGTCGTCAACTTCTCTTTATATGAAAATCAGTTCTTTAGATGAACATCGGTGGGGTCCAAAGAGATGTGAGGTTTATTGAGGAGGACTGGTGCTGCGCATTGCTCTCCCTGCTGCCAGTCCCAGGTGATTTGCTTCCGGCAGGCACGGGTCAAGTACAGCCCCTGAGCTTAGAGGAGCAGCTGATGAGTTTGAACTGAATGATGAAGGCTGGGAGGGAGGGATGAGGGACCTGGAGGTAAATGCTCTGATGCTGCTTACTTGTTCCTGTTCAAGTGAGGCTGCCACAGTGTTTGTATGAGGCTGTCTTGAGTCCTGTGAAGAGCAGGATCCTTGAGTTCCAGTGACAACACTAATTAATAATTGAAATCCTTCATCTCTCTTGGAACTCTTTGATCTTCTATTTTTCAGCCTTAATAAATGTCAGCATCGTGAAGTATCTTTAATCCACTGGCGGCTTCTAAACTGAGGTAACTTTTGTTTAGGATGGAAGTTAAAAGACAGTGGGAGTCAAAAAGAGAAATTGAGGGGCCATGTTAGTCCATTGAGTATTGGCACCATAGGGCTTTAGCGGGACTGTAAGTGCTTTTTGTAAACTACAAATGTAAGTTCTGTTCAGTAAGAAAAATATTATATAAACCATGTTTACACTGAACTGTCTTCTATGATAATGATTAAAAGAAGTGTTTCCCTCAATGTGGAATTAGTTACTGGTTGGTAGAATCATCAGGGGTGACTAAACCTACAGTGAATTTGCCTCTGTCGGGTTTCCTCAAAACAAAATTCTGGCAGAGCCTGGCTTCGTTAGGCCTCCGTGGTCTGTTTGGGGTTTTAGATGTTTGTTTGTGACATTAATATCACTACAGAGTCAATCTAATTAGCTATTCTGAGGGCTTGATCGTGAAACTTTGAGCTATTCATGTAAATGAATATTTAACAATTGAGAGTTACTTTTCTTCATAAGAATTAGTTTCTTGAAATGTGCATCACAAATTGTCCCAGTACCATCTACTGATTTCTCTTTGTAGAGATGTTCCCAAGCTTAGCACTTTCTTGAGTTATGAGCTCAACCTCAACTCCAGCCAGTGGTAAGATTCCGTATTGAATAAACAGATTGAAATCAGAGTGGCAGATTTTATGTTAACTGTCTCTTTAAAATGTGTTATACTTAGCACATTTATTGCATCTAAATATAGCTGAAGAAATTGAGAAAGTAGTGTTATTGTACTCTTTTGTTCTCTATGTGGCATCATCAGCATTATCCCCAGTGAAGTCAATTAAGTAATCAGTTACTTTATATTCATCATTATTATATATTCTTAATGATGCGTTAAGGCATTAAATAATTTCTAATCTCCTCTACTTTCTCATAAGTGGTCATTTTTAGAAATGTATTTATTTTGGTAGTGCTGATGTGTGCTGTTTTAGAAAAGGCTGAATGGCATTATATTAGCATTTTTTGTAATATCTGGCTCATTTGTATTTATTAGAATATACAGACTCTTACTATATGCCACATAAACCAATTTGGGCTAATTTTTCTTTTGCCTACATTGCATATAAAGTCATAACTTTATTAGGAGATTATATAACATTAAAATGCCGAATTTTCACAAGTTGGAAAACTGTCCATCAGCTGCTGGTGATTTGCCTAGAGTAAAGTAGCTTTGTGTGATAATTAGAGTGGCTTCAGGATTTCTGGCCTTTCTCTGAAGATTTTTGGATGAGAGAGAGAAAGAGCAAGGTAGTTTAGGAAGGAGGATGGCTTCTAAATTAGTAAAATAGGAATTTTATAATCAATATTGTCCTTAATGAAAACTAATGAGGCTGTTGACAGGGTGGACATAAGATGATAAGTGAGATCCTTGACTCAGTGAAGTGTAGTGTTTTGAGAAGCTCTGAAATTGTTTACTTTGGACAGTGAGCAAGAGAGGTGGTTTAATGAGTTAAAAGGCAGCAGCATTGCCTTTTCACTGTCCAAAAGGCTGCCTGCCTGTCAGTTTTTCTGCCTGTATTTGAAAATAATGAAAATACTGAGCATGCTTTGGAAGCTGCGGAAGACAAATGTGAAGTAATATCTGGGAGGAATTATGCTAACCTTATCTGATCACTACTGAAGACTGCAAAGACAAGTTCTGATAGGTTGCAGAGGTAATTTTCTCCAGGTCTCTCTTTTTCAACATTGTTTCTAAGGAAATTGCCACATTATTTTGGCACATCATTAGAAGATTCAAGGCGTAGTTTCATGACATAGCTAGCTTCATCCCATGACTCTCTGCTTCTCAAGAGGTGGTCTCAGTTCTTCTCATATATTTTCTAGTGGTTTTTGCTTTTAAAATACGAAAAATTGCTTTATCACTTTTTAAAATATGATTTAGTTCTTTTGGAAGGAGCAGTCTTCTCTTTTACCTCCCTAAGTAGTCTCGCTGAAGGGTCTATCAGGAATGAGAGCTGATACAAGACAGCAGCAGGAGTGTGTGCAGGGATTTAGCAGGAGCAATGCTACCCTGAGGTACCTCTTAGCTCATCTCTGCAGCATCATCTAACTGCATCCTGAGATTGCATCAGTGGGAGAGTACTTAAAGGATGTGCATATACACACCCATGTCTTTTAATTGATGATACTTCATCATTTCTCACATCTCCAGATTTATACATTCCTCTTTATAGAAAATGAGCTGAAAGAACAATTTTAATGACAGGGTAGGAAATAAGAATAAGGAGGCTGTTTTATTCTGGAACTTACAGATTGATATATTGCAGATAAATAATATTAAAGGGGAGAATGAAATCCCAGAGGAGATTACTTGAGATTAGTTCGATCATTTCGATAGTATTAGGAGTTGCCATGATGTCTGTCAAGATGATGACAGATACCAATGATTAAGTGACAGTGATAACTAAATAGCAGACCACCCACTGTGTTTAATTGTGAATTCTTTGAAATTAGTTCCATACTATTGCTGTTTGTGTTATTTATTATTCTTAATGAGTGAAGGGAATGTAGAATTTGGATTCAAGAGAACACAATCTGCACAATGCTGCGTGCTGTTTCCCTATCTCTCTGGTAAGAGACTCCACATTCCTGTTACCTTAATACCTCCTTGAGCCTTCTTTTTTCCACTGTTTTCTGCATTGCCTTTTCTGAATGCAGCATCTGTCCTGTTCTTGACCTGCAAAATGATCTTGCTTTTCCTGTTTAAATTCCTTCTGAACAATTGTTTCATCTATTGTAGTACAATTGAGTTATCCAGATGTCTGACTTATTTATATGCATGGGATAGGTAGGGTGGTGTATTGACAGAGGAACTGAAAACTACATATGTCCATGAACTGCATGTCTGTCATCAGTCTTTCTACTTCTGCTTTTATTATGGTTTATTCTCCCATCAGTGCATGACACAAGAAGTTACTTAGGGCAACGTTTAACTTTTTCTGATGCCAGAAGTCCTGTTTAAATCTAAACAAAAATATATGTAAGGCAATTATAATGAGAAATTCAGAGAATCCAGTAGGGTTAAGCTGATAATTATCTTTCAACAGTGATTAGCAGCCTGAGATGTGAACTGGTGCCAGTCTGAAGTATTATGAATAGTTGGAAGGTGATGAGTTATTTTTTGATAACCAGGATTTCCTAAGTTGCTCAGAGTAATTTCACAATGTTGTGTACAGGGCTAATGAGATCCTGGCAATTGTAAAAGAAGAATAATCAGAATAACAAGATGGTAGCCATCCTGTCTCTGAAGTTATCTAACTGCAAAAACTAAAAACATGAGGGAGAAGATGAGTTCAGGCTTGGTAGGCATCTGTATCATTGTGCTTGGAAAAATGGATACATCTTGAAGGACCCAGTACAATAGGGAACTGCCTCCATGCCTACAGAAGTGTGGAAGCTCCAGTGCTTGCTTGGGCTTTGTGGCTGTAAAGGCTAATTTTGCTTTTGCAGAAATTGCAATAATAATAATATTTTTTTTTTTTAGCTGTATGATGCCTTTTTGGTAACCTGTCTTCACCATTGCTTATCATACCTGGGCAGTCTGTTAAAATTAGTACGAGTTTGTTCTTGAGGAGTGTAATTGATGTCAGCATTTCTCTTTCATGCAGTTTTTGTGGGATTTAACTTGGATAAACTGAACCAACTGGATTTTTTTGCAAGGCCTTGAATGTGATTCATGTGTGGTGAATTTTTGAATGCTAGAAGTGAAACCAACCAAATGGGTTTTAAACTGGAGTGATCTGTGGTGAAGTTTTGTCTCTTGGTGCACAAAATGTTTTTAATTTTTTAAACGAGAGTCATCATAATCTAAAACTAGCTTGGGCTATGTAGTAAAAAATGTACCTTAGGAACAATCCTGCCCTAATGGGAAATGGCCAAAATGACCTAAAAGATACTTTCCATCTCAAACTTCCATAGCTTATTGATGGCGATAATTATGGGTGTGATGCAGTGGGAAGAAGGCTATCAGTTTAAATCTGGATATATTGCAAGTGGGGTGACAAATGAAAATCATATGCCTTTTTCTCTGGGCAATTAGATCAAATGAAGGACAGATACTTTAAAACCATATTTTGCAATGTGATACTTCTTAACAAAGCTTCAGTTTAGTGCTGTGATAGAAAGGAAACAGACTGACTCACAGAAAACTGAGATCATTTCTTGGATTGCATCTAAGTGTGAAAATATAAGGTTGACATTATGGAAGCTATGAAGTGTTTCTTACAGTGCTTTAAATGAATCACTGGCATTGAGAGGAAGAAATTGAATAAGTACATGATGAGAAACAAGTTCTATTATGAGAAATACTGTTTCTGCTTTAATTTCGGTTTTTATTTCTCCTTTCAGGGTAAATGGAAAGCTGGTGGCATTGAAGGTGATTAGATTACAAGAAGAGGAAGGAACCCCATTTACTGCTATCAGGGAAGGTATGCACTCACATTTAATGATTATACATGGGGGGTTTTTTGTAATTACATTGCACTACTTATTTCTGTGCCATGCTATAGAGAATAGCTTGAGAATTCAAATGATATGGTTATATTCTCAGTAGGAAGAAACTTTAGTGCTTCAAAAACAAAGCCTCTGGTGTGGGAGTTCTTGTTAAAGAATGCAGCTCTGCCTCTGCTTTGGCTCCTGTTAGATTTACTATACGGATGAGTACTCAAGAGCATGTTCAAGGTGGGTGTGAGAAGTCGCTCTGGAAGATAAGGAAACTGTGTAAGTCGCGCTTCTTGCCTGAAGGCAGCACCTAAGGTAAAGGTAGATGTAATTTTTCATATAGTTGCAGCATGAAGTGAAGAAAAGCATTTCTTTATGAAGGCAATCAGAAGATCAGGGAGCAAAACTACAGGCATCTTAGAAGCTGTGTGTGGTTTCGGACCAGCTTTTGTTTGTTTTTCCTTCCCCATGGGCTCTAACTTGCATGTCTTGGGAATGACTCTTATCTAATGTGCTCAGAGATGCCTGTTGCGCTTTCTGTGCTCCTCCTTCATCCTTCCATGTCAGCCTCTCATGGTCCCCAGTGGCAGCTGCTTTATCTGAACCTGCCTGTGTTGCATTTGCAGAAATTGCTGGATGTGCCCTCTCTGTGTGGGCCTCCTCTGTTAGAAGGTTCTAAAAATGAGCCTTGGTAGAGAAATAATAAACGATTTACCATTACACCACTGATTCTGACTCGGCTGAAGTTAGTAGTGAACTAAAGAGACAAGACTGCTGCGGCTTTTGAAGGACCTTTTAGAATTGTCCTGACTATCTCGGCATAATTCCAGAGGCGGGATGAGCCAGGGAAGTACCAGAACATCGGCCTTCACAAGGCCCACAGCGTCACCCTGGGTGACAGATGTGCAACTGCGTGGCCATCGCAGCCACAGTCCCCACAGCTGCAGCTCCCTCAGCCCTCACTCCTGCAGCTGTCTGTACACTGTACACCTGTGTGTACAAGGAGCCTGTTTTGGGGTGGACTGGGCAAAAAAGTCCATGTTTCATGTGATTGACCCTCTGAAGTTAAAAACCCTTAAAGTACTGTGGATTTCCGTCCCAATGCTGTGCATTTTAAAGGAAGCTCTTTCAGAAAGGAGGGGAAAACGTGGGTGGCCAATTTATGAAGGAATTTCAGCAGTTCTTCTGTAGTGCTTTGTTTGAGTAACAATTATTGAATGATCTGACACATTTATTCATAATGATACATATTTTATCTGTGAGCTGTCTGTCCCCACAGCTGTGCCACGATAACGAGATGTGCAGAGGGTTATGAGTGCATCTTTCAATATTTGTAATGTTGAGTTCAAGGCATAATAGCCCGTGTTTCAAATATGTTTATTATTCTCCAGTTTTTTAGTTGATATAGTACTGACTTAATAAAAAAATAGTACATAAAGCTTTCTTGCGCCTTTTTAGTGACACTTAAAAGGTTTTTTAATGTGAGCTTGATCTAGATGAAAATTTATAGTGTTATAACTGTAAAATACAGTATAATGTGTTTTCCTTCATAAATAGTTTGTTGTGTGAGCTCATTATAAATAAATATTCCTTAGGAGCAAGAACAGAGATTTTTCCACTTTATTGTTTTTCTTAATTTATAAAGTTATACTCGCATGCAAATGCTTTTCACACTGTCATTCTACAAGTTTTTCTTTTAGCCATGACTAAAGCCATGGTTGAAGCCAGTTAAAATTCTGGTACTTTAATATTAGTAGAATAAAGCTTTTACCTAGAAAAGCTCTTAAAGGTATTAACACGTATTTTCTTAAGTATCCAGTGTCTCACTGATTTTAGTGGGACTATATGCATCCATGGTATTTCTAAGTATTAACCTAGGCTGGGACTAGATCCAAAGAGTATTTAGGCTAATGTGAAGGTTTTTTCCTTGACTGTTGTAGACTCTTGTTTATGTTTGGTCAAATTCAGGTTATAGGGTGGTTGTGGGTTTTTTTGGTAAATGTAATCCTGTCCCTTGGGTAGTGGAACTTCATTCAGATCTGTGGGAGCTATCAGTAGAAATACAGTCCTGTATGTTTTACATAATGTAGGAGTTTACATGGTGTGTAAGATGAGAAGGGGAAAAATCTGTGTCTAACTTTGGCTTTGGCTTTTCTGCTGTTTGGGTTGATTTTGTCAGAAACAAATATTAGGGCCAGAAAGTAAGGAAGGGGGTATTACAAATATAACTTTCAAAAGGTAATCTCAGTGATGTGCCAGACCCCTGTTATTTGACAGTAATGCTACAGCTGTGGGCTTCACTAGCAGGACCTGAGCAAGCTGTTGCTCTCCTCTTAGCAGCATCTGATCTGTCTTGGACCTGCTGGGTTCGGTAACGCAGTCGTGACTGATCTCAGCTGCATGGGTGGAAAAAAAAATTAAAAATAAAGAGATGCTTGTATAACCTCTTGAAGTTATCTGGTAAGTTTGAGACAGCAAAACAGTTAGAATGGGACACTGTGTTAAGCAGATTTTTCCTCATCTTCGTTGGCTGACTGAGGGCTTCAGCCCTATAATTTAGCCTGGGACAATTAGAAAAAGGACAAATACCACAGAAGATGAGATCAACTTCTAATTTCAGTTATCTGAGTAGTAATATTGCCCTAATCAAAAAATGCATGTATGGTATAATGAGCCAGAGGTCTGTTGGAGGGCATTTCTTTCCAAAGGTTTTCATAATGGAGAAACCAGACACGTTTTGACCATGACTTATTCCTTATTTTCTAATTTTCACAGAATCACAGAATATTAGGA